TCAAATTCTTCTAGAAGACATTTCTTTAGAATCATTTTCTGCTTTTCATCATTCACAGTCAAGATGATATCATCCACAAACTAATAAAATTGTGACTTCCCTTGAGTCCGAATGTTTGAAAAATAATGTATAGTCTCCTTGTCTCTGTCGATAACCATCAAGCAGCATGACCTTCGAGAATCTTCCAAATCAAGCTCTAGGTAACTGTTTTAGTCCATATAGAGCCTTTTTTAACCTACACACTTTGTTAACCCTAGATTTATCCTTAAAATTTGGTGAAATCTTCATAAATATTTCTTCCTCCATCTCCCCCTGTAGGAATACATTTTTGACACCCAGCTATTCTAGATGCCAGTTATAATTAGTTGCTTGCTAGTGAGAGCAGGATTCTCACGGTGTTCATCTTGGCCACAGGTGCAAAAGTTTTTTGGTGGTCAATATCATATATCTGAGTGTACCCTTTCACCACCAGTCTTGCCTTGCACAATTTCAGTGCACCATCAAATTTGTATTTCACAGAGAACACTCATTTACAACCGACTGTTTTTTTCTTTACTGGTAGGTTGGTGATCTCCCATGTATTACTCTTTTCCCGGGCTTCTATTTCATCTTTCATGGCACTTCTAATTTTCAACATATAAGACTTCAGAAATATCATTAGGAATACGAATGTCATTTAGTGTAACAAGGAAATTTTTATGTGAATGTGAGAAGTTATGGAATGATATAAGGTTGGTTATGAGGTACAAGGAAGGTTTTTTTTATGAACTTATATTTACCTCAATTTTAGGAGACGGTTTAAATTCTTAGATCTGCTCTGAACAATAATTTGAATTTGTACGTCTGGAATACAATTTTCCAAACCTCCTATTATCCATAATAGCTTTGTCCTCAGTTTCTCTAGCTTTCATTTTAGATTTAGGTGGATTGGTTTGAGATGGAGCTGAAAGGTCAAGCGGGGCAAGCTCACTTTCCTCATCTTGCTTAGTTTCAGTCTCCCTCTAAAGATGAGTTTTGGTAAAATAAGATTTTTGTTCATAAAAAATCATATCAATAGATATAACGGTTTTTTGGTAGAGGATTTATAACCTTTATGGGTGGATAAATATCCAACAAAGATATATTTGAGTGCTCATGGATTTAATTTTCCTCTATTTTGATTGTGGCTGTGAACATAGGCAGTGCACCCAAAGATTTTGTGTGTGAGGTTGTTATGTGTTCGAAATTTGGGGTAAAATGAGGATAGAATATCCATTGGTATTTTTAATCCTAAATTTATTAAAGGGAGTCGGTTTATGAGATATGAGGCGGTCAAAAGGGCTTCCCTCTTGTAGGATTTGGACATATTGTGATGGAATAGAATTGAACAGGTGGAAGCAAGAAGATGACCATTTTTTCTTTCTGCAACTCTATTTTGTTGTGGGGTATGAATGCAGGAAGACTCATCAATGACACATTCCTTTTGAAAGTAGGAGGATAGAGTTTAGTTAAAATAAATCTTTGATATTGTCAGAACAATTTTCTTATTTTTATTCCGAATTGATTCTAGATCATGGCATGAAAATGATAAGGATAGTGCTCGCATTCTGATTTATTTTTTAGGAGACAGATCCAAAAGACTCGAGTGCAATCAGCAATAAAAGATGCAAACCATTGGGCCATTGAGATGTTAGGAATTTTTTAGGGTCCTAGATGTCACTATGAATAAGGTAGAAAGGGATATGACATCTCTTATTTTTGTTCGGAAAAGAAACTCATTTATATTTGACTGATTTACAAGTTTCACAATGAACAATGAAAAGATTCATTTTCCAACTTATAAAAAACTTTTGGGTACATATTTATTAAGACATCAAAAGATGGATATCCTAATCTAAAATGATGAAATTAAATAAAAAAATTTTAATTAAATAAGGATAACATAGAATAGCCATTATTGATAATAGTGAATTTATTCAGCTCTTCTAGGTAGTACATTTCATCTCTCTCCTTAGTAAGTTCAATCTTCTTCCCTGATCCCTGGTCCTAAAATAAGCAACAAGGGTTAAATAGGACATGACAATCATGATCACTGATAAGTTTTTGTATGGAGAATAGATTTGTGGATAACTGAGGTTCGTTGAACACATTTCTTAGTGATGAAGGGAGATAAGGGTATGTCTCCTTGGCCTGCTACTATAGCAAGAGAACTATTAGCTGTGATGATTTTCTTATCACTCGGGCAAGGAGTGTAGCTGATGAAGTGGATAATGAAGTGTGTCATGTGATCTGTGGCTCATGAGTTAATGATCCATATTTCTTTCAAATGATTTTTAGAGGTACTTAATCCAATGGACATATGAAATTTACCTGAAAGTACAAGAGAAGAAGATTCAGGTGATTTTTCAAGTGATACTAGGAGTTGTTTTAGCTTATCAATATCTTCTTTGTTGAGTTCTCTGAAGTTGGATTGTGTTTTCGGGTTGGGCTGACTTGTTGTAGTGTTAGCGTGAGTGTTTTCTTTTATCTACTTCTTTGATTCCACTCCTTACTTAGAGGCTTTCCATGTAACTTCTATTATGTCTCCTATGTGTGTTTTGATTTCTTGCAATAGTTGCATCAAAGAAAGTTTTTGTAGTGAGGTTTTGAGGAATCAATATCTCTTTCTTCCATGATGTCTCTTTGGTTGTCACCATTGTTGAACCTTCAACAACTTTTGGTTCCAGCATTACGCCTCGTCGGCTTTCCTCAGTACGAATGAGAGAAAGTCTTATTTAGTGAGGGTGTCTTCTCTTTGCCAAGGATTTGAACTTTAACTTTGTCAAACTCTATATTTAATCCTCCAAAAAAGTCACTTTATCTTTCTTAATAAAACTTTTTAGGATAGAAGCATCTTTTGGATACTTGGTCTCTATGCATCTCTAGTAATTAAGTTCTTGCCACATGCTTTGAAGGAGAGTGACATATTCAATCAATATTTTGTTTTCTTGTTTTGTGCTTTCCACCTTTACTTCAATTTCGAAGATTTGTGCAGCATCCCGAGCTTTTAAGAAGGTTTGCCTGGCGGCACCCCATATATCTTTTGAAGTAGATATGAACATGAAATTATTGCTCATTTATGGAGTCATGGAATTCCACAACCATGACATGATCATGGAGTCTGCTTCATCCTATGCTAAAAAATTAAAATCATCATCTTTTGGTCCTACCCTAAGAAGGTGATTCATCTTTCCTTTCCTTTTCAAGTATATCTTACAAATTGAGACTACTTTAAATAATTATTCCAATTTAAGCGATAGGAATGTTGCATATTTTGGAGATCTCCTCTTTCTTGGTGTACCATAATCCTTTATTTGGTCAAAGCTTTTGGAGGAATTTGCTTCATATATTGTGGCGGCAAAGGATAGCGATGAAGGATATATCAAGCAAGGCAGCAACGAAGGTTATGTTGGTTATAGATAGGATAACAACTAGGGAAGGCCGGCAATGAAGGCACGACAGTACAAAAAACTCAGATTTCTGGCAACGACAATGACAGTTCGATACCATGTTAAATTCAGAAAATTGGAGAGGAAAAAGCTTAATTTTATTGCGCAAACTTGTTCCTATGCATAGATTTATACAAGATATCTTAATAAAGAAACAAATAATTACAAAATTATGCATAATTGCTCTAATATAATCCTTCCTAAACTAGACACCTAAATATGGAAGGAGATCAACATGATCCAGGTGAGCATCTCATAAATTCACATCCGAGCTGTGGGATCAAAATGCCAAGAGACGGCTAGGATTTAATAGGTGAGCCTCCCATGGATTTCCATCCTAGCCGTGGGATCAAAATGCCAAGGGACGGCTAGGATTTAAAAAAGCAATCCTCTTTCAAGAAAAGGATCTTCTATCCCAAACCTTAGATGCCGCTAGGATCCCTCACAAAAGAAAATTACAGCACTCAAGACAAAATTCTGCATAAAATAAAATAAACCCTACTATGGACTTAAATAAGCTTCCTCGCTCCTACTATGGACTTAAATAAGCTTCCTCCCTCCCTACCTCCTAAATCAATCCTTTCCTAATATATCTCCCTCATTGAAAATAATTCAATTAGGAAAGGATCTCATTAGGAAAGGATTCTCTAATTCAGCTCCCTTTCTAATATATCTCCCTCGAAAATAATTCAATTAGGAAAGGATCTCATTAGAAAATGTTTTCCTAATTGATTTTCTCCAAATATAATGTATTAATTCCCTACTGGGCCCCACCCCCTTAACCTCCTTTCTTTCCTTATCCATCCCTGCCGAATCAAGGCACTAAAGATTTGATTCTCATACTATTGCCACAACCACTGTTTTACTTGTAGAAGTGCAAAATGTGTGTTCACTGATCTGCATTAGCTAGTGTACACATGCAATCACAGCATATATTTGAATTTTGCAGGCGTCTAGATATGCGAATGATCATGTCCACATGTGAATGTGGCAGAAAAATAAGAAGGTTTGGAGAGTATGGAGTTTAAACATTCTAAATTGCAATCATGTTAAGAAGTAAAAGCAATATCACACAAGGGAAAAGATATGGTCTCAACACTACAGAATATATCATAGCGGGGGCAAAATTGCTTATCAAGTGAAACATATATTTTGTGTATAATATAATGGGTTAATATATAATATCTTTCTAACCACCACAGAAATAAAATTTCCAGATCTCACCTTACTGTAAGCTCTATGCTACTTAAAAATTTAACAATCAAAGTTCATACGTATGTACCGGTCATTCCCATTCTGCAAAAAAATTGTGGCAGTCGATTAGAAATAATAAGGTCGTACTTTGATGGAAAGAAATTGTGCTGGTTCATACATTTTAACGGTCAAAGCTCAAGTTTCACATGTTGTGAAGCAACAGGCACAAATGAATGTCATGGTTGAACATAAAGCAAAATATAGGAATAGGTAAGTGCAATATTTCGTAAAATGATAAACAAAAGGATTCAAAGAGATTTTGAAGATGGAATAGAATACATATTATCTGGGTCAATATTAGCGAAGGCATATGCAGCACACCGTCCAGAATATGAGTAACCAGCATGCCTGCAGTTTAAACGTAATGAAAACATATATGAACGTTCAAATAAAAGAATATATAATGATAAAAGTAGTGATGACCATAAGGGTTGTATGCTAACGTACGGGGCAATAATTCCTCTAATATCAGCGGACTTAGGCAAACCAGTTGCCCGAAGCCATTCATCAAGTTCCTCTCCCAGCTTTTTTGCTGATCATAATACAAAAACAGAGATTTAAGAAAAGAATATTCAAAACATGAATAAATTCTTTCAGATTCCTTGATAAAAACAGATCGCTCACTAAGTTTCCAGCATATCAAGGTTTAAAATTGCGTAAATAAGCCTCGAGACTTTTTTCGTCCGTGAGGCGAGGCGTAGGCCTCAAGGAGGTGTGAGGCGTAAGCCTCACGGACGAAGAATTGCATAAATGAGAATTTAAGTATTCTAGCATGTAAATAACAGTAAGAGTATATCATACAATAAAAACATCTAAATGACAAATAAAATTAGTGGAAAATAATAAAATAGATGCAATATATGTATCTCATAGCATAATTCAAAGTACAAAACCACAAATATAAGTCTATCAAAACTCCTAAAGTACAAATAAGAAAGAACATCTAAAATTCAATCATGTCGCATCACTAAATAGATCTTCAAGGGAGGCATCTTTATCTCCAATTGTATCTATGAATGTCAAATCTTTATCATCTTCAATGTTACCCACTTTTCTCTTTCCTGTTCAATAAGAATGATTAGTGTGTTGTTAATTGCATATATTTAAAATGTAATAGCATATAATAAATTGTGAGATACATTTGTTTGCTTATTGTGCTGAAGTACTAGTGGATGTGTGTGATGTGGTACTAGTGGATGTGCTCACTTGATCTGCTTCGCCCCTCAAGACAATCACACTTGGATCCTCTAGCTGCATGTCAGATAATGACAAATCTGTCTCATCATCTATGAACCACTCATTATAAGACGTCACATCATCACACGCCAAAGGTCCTCATCATCCTTCAACCCCTTGTTCCTCAACCTCTTGTTATGCATAATTTACACAAGGGAGTTCATTCTGAGTGTTGAAAGTCGATTTCTTCTCTTCATTTACACTTGACTATATGTGCTCCAGTTTCGCTCACATCTAGAAGAAGAAAAAGTGAGGCCTAAAACTCTAACTGTAAAACTCTGTAACTCAGGGGTGAAATCACCAAATTGGATCCACCATTCAACTATTTTCAATAAGGAAACGATAATCAAAACATATTAAAGTGTGATGCATGTACAGTTACTTTGCAAAAAATAAACTTACCTGGAGAGCGTTTGGCAATAGTACAATTTGTTTCTTGCAGACCAAAAAATATCTCTCTATTCCGAAATAGAACAAGTTCTAAATCTGTAAGCTCCGTGACGGTCTGGTTCGATATCAGCCGCTCCATGCAATGGTACAAGCCCAGCTTCACCTCTGGATTTGAAGATTTTCTCTCTGAATACTAAAATTGAGGATTGAGATAATACGTCGCTATATGTAGATGACGGTGTAACTGGACCTCCCACCGAGCATCGATGATATCCCAAATTTCTCTATAACTGGCCTCATCTCCTCCCAAGTTATGTGCAATCAACTCCTTTGCCTCATTCATTGCATTATACATAAAACTCATGGCTGGTTTCTTCTCGGTATCCACTAATCGTAGTACTTGTACTAAGGGTCTTATGCTCAATATGACATAGGTCACACTTGCCCAAAATGTATTATTCAGAATCTGCCTTCGTATTTCTTTCCCTCGGGTTTCTTTCCCCACACACAATTAAGCCATTGTGTTGATGTAAACATGGCTTCAAGAGGTTGCCTAACATCCAGTATGCTCTACAGTGTCAAATAAGAAGTGCCAAACCTGTAAGATAAACTTGCATTAGAAATTGAAAATGCTTTGCAGTGCACTAATGTAATGACTTACCTAGTCGTAGCAGGGAGAATGATTTCCTTCTTCGAGAACTTTCTCATTAAGGATAAGACCCATGAGTGATTGTAGATGAATTTTGTGATCTTCTTCGCCCTAGAAAGGGCGCCCTTGTGTTGCGGTAGATCACCAAGTTCCTCCAATATGAGATCAATACAGTATGTCGCGCAGGGGATCCAATAGAGGTGTTTCCTCTTCTCCATCAACATCTGACTAGCTGCTTTGTATGCGTTGGCATTGTCAGTCACAACCTGAACAACCAATTGCTCCCCGATCTCCTCAAGAACCGCATCTAATAAATTAAAAAAGAAATCAGCATTTTTTAACCTCAACAATATAGATCACAACATATTAAAGTAGTCCGGCGATGTCGCAACAGTAAATAGAATGACATTCTCAAAAAAGAATTTGCTAATATCCATGCAAATCTGCCATCGACCCTCTCTGGTACTAGCCGCAGGCATCATCTGTGCTTTTCCTCTATCCTCTCTTGGATTAATCATATATTGATCTATAGGACCTCGGGCACCTCTACTATGTATAGTGGAGGAAGAGTCATTTCCATTCTCACTCCCGTAATAAGCACCATGTTCGACTCTTTCATTAAATTGCTTATGTTGTAAATGTTTGGCCATGGTACTCTTCTTCATGTAAGCAGTAATTTCCTCCACCTTATCTGGCACATTCGCACAAGGTGCTACATTTTTATGTGAGCCGGATAAGTGTTCCTTCATGCGGGTAACTCCTCCCTTCACCACCTTATCACAAAAATTGCATTTTAAATACACATTTGTCTTCTCGCCGCCTCCTACGTCAACCTGTACATTGTACTGCTAAGAAGGGTCCTGCCGCAATGACGTATTTGACTTTTCCTTGCCCCTAATCATATTTCCTAATGCACAAATTTAAAATCAAACAAAAAATCTCAAAAAATAAAAAACCCAAAATTTTCTATAACTTGAAAAAACTTGCCTTGAATTTAAAAAAAATACCTAAAACCGATAGTGGAGTTGTCGTAGAAGGCGGCCGGACACCATAAGCTCACCGGCATGAGGTGGCGCCGGCGGGAGAGGCGGCGGGAAGGGAGGCTGAGCGAAGCAATGTTGTGGAACAAGGCTTGCGGAGAACTGCACCCTTTGGTTCAGGTAGGCTGAAAGAAACACTAGAGGAAATAGGGTTTTTTAATTAGAAACTTAAGTTGGTGGGACCCGACATCATGAGGCGTGCACCTCACCTAACATTGTGCAATTAAGCCTCTGAGGTGCGCCTTATGGACCCTGAGGCGTAAGTCTCACCTAGACCCAAAATTGCATAAGCAATGAGGCTTTTGGGGGCTAAATTATGCAGAGGCGCGCCTCCTATTGCGTAATTTTAAATTATGTCTTTCGGTATGCTAAGCGAGGAAAGTGATATGACAACAACTTTGAAAATTTTAGAGAAGAAGATACACCTTCGAAATCAAATTAGATCTTTTACATATATATTTTAAGCACCAATATTAGTCATCTATGTGCATTTTTATTATAGTAAAGTGAAAAATACAAATATAAGAAAATGTGCATGATTTACTCAACAAAATAAAATTATTTCAGCTTTGAAATTTTGGAAAAATCTTTTTAATTAAGCACAACCATCATCATAAGTCTTATCCAAACAATTTGCTTAAACGGTTACGCTTTATGAATCCTCACCTTTATAAATGCTTGTTAAATCATACAAAGGTGTCAGCTCTATTTTTCACGTCTTTTCAAAAGCTCTAGCCATGTTACCTTTGGTCTTGCAAAACAATCATAAGAATTTATGTGACGCAATAAAAAGAAACTTCCCTGGGAAAACTGAAGGAGAACAATAATTCTTCCACTTTCAAGCAACATGCATGAAGTTTTCTTTGTCGCAGTAGTTCGTGTAACTCATGGACAACCAACTCTTCTCATGATAGGACGAGGTTGTACGTAACTCTATTTAAACATTTTTTACGCTTGAATTTTGCAATAGGGATACAAACACTATAGGAATACTCAAATATACAATATTGCAATCTTCAGCTTGTACTTTTTGCAGCTTTGTCCTCCCTAAATCCTTTCAAGTGAAATCTAATTCATCCACTTCTCTTTTCAGAGAAGTCTTTCACTTTAACAAGGTGTTTTCCATTGAGATTTTGATGATAAATAAAATGCATTTTTATGTGAATTTGATAGAACACCAGCTTTATCTATTAGCTCTTATAAAATGCCATCATGGTTTGTTAGAGTTCCCCTTAAATAAATATAACTTCTATTTTTTTAAACAACTCATTCAACTTAATTACAACAGTAACCGACATCACAACCTTCCGCTCCCCATAGAATTTCAATTTTTTTCCCGGCGATGGAGACGTCATCAAAGGTGAAGGCAACACTAGAACTTAGGTCAGACTAGGAACACGCATATTCCATTAGAAAACCATGGTCCTTAGAGATTGCTTCGTGGCAAAGAGTTTTCACAAGAATCCTCTGGAGCTATTTAAACCATCTAAGGGTTGAAGTTCAGTGATGAAAGTCAATTTAGTGAAATATTAATAAGAGGATATATTAAGGAGATGTATGAATTTTAATAAAAATTAGAATGGTATACCAGTATATTCACATACTTGGAATAGTATGTCAGTTTAAAAAAACCCTAATTAGTAATCTAAAACATTGTAGAAACACATCCGGGGGCAACCAATTTCAGCTGCCATCGAATGCTCAACCACCCCACTAAAAAGCTCAATCCTTGTCATTCGGCATAGAACAGTAGCAATCAGTAAGGTTTCCGAACATTAAAAACAATTTATACAAAATTCAGAAAAAGAAGGCAAAGCCCCGTAAGAACTTCGAAATTTAGCAGAAGATGGAAAACACCCTATTTACGAGAATCGTTTAAGATTCGAAAGGATAGCACTTACTATTGTCTGTGTACCATGATCCTGCGTGCAAGGCCCTGCGAACTGTCTCCATTGGCAATCGCGAAATTGAGAGATCAAAAGAAGAGTGACAGAGAGAGGCAAAAGTATTACAGTACCCCTAAGATTCCGTGAACACAAAGGAAGATAGGATTAGGCAAAAGGAAGATAGGATTAGGGGTGTAAACTAATCAATCGAGTCCAGTATCTAAGCTCCTGTTGAGTTTGGGCTAGATTCGAGCTCATTTAATAAATTTGAAGTTGACTAGTTTAAAAATTCTAAGGTTTAAGTTCAGCTCGATTGGTGAGCTCAATTTTCTAATTTTAAATTGAAATTTAATGTTTTTAATTTTTAATATAAAATGAATTTAAAAATATTAAAATATATTATATAATACTAATTTAAACTAATTTTTAAATACATCTTAAATTATTCGAGCGGCTTAAAGAGCTATCGAGCTGAGCTAGGTTGAGCTCGAGCTCGTTTAGCATACAAGCTCGAGTATAGGCTCGACGTCGAACTAGTGACTCGATAAGTTCGATTCGAGAGCTCATTAACGAATCGAGCTCGAGCCAGCTCGGTTCACTTACACCCCTATATAGGATTACTCCTTTTTAAGTATAGTTGTTTTCTTTTGGAGGTTCAAGAGTATGTTGGGGGCCGGTTGTATGAAAAATATTTTAAAAAAAATTATAATGATTATTATAAATATTTTTAAATCTCTTACTAGTTTACATTTTTTTTTTTGCTTTTATTTATAAAAATTCTTATATTTGGATTAATATTTTTTTTGGTTAAATATCTCAAAATGAATGTTGCAACCTAGATCTAAAAGCACAGTAAGTGAATTATATCTCGCTTAACATACTGAGTAGCATTGTTTCTCCCCATTCTTATGAGAGAGTTCATGTTAAAAGCTAAAATTTTTAGAAGGTATATTAAATTATAAATAAGACTCATAGATTTTTGCGAGGATTTAATAATTTGGCTCCTCATTTGCATAAGCTAACCTATGATTAATTACTCCTCCTAGTTATAAGAGGGAACTTAAATTAAGGCTAATTGGTAGACTCACGAGATGCTTTACCAGCGGAAGCCAATGTGCTTTCGATCTCTAGTTGATAACCATGTGACACTTGTGTCTTCAAGTTATGATGACCCTATTATTGATTCAAGAGGCTAGTTGATTAATGGCCTGCTTATGCTTGCTCAACAAATCTTATGGGATACAATGAAGACTTGGTTGGAGACTAGAAGATTCAGTGTCATGCTAGACAGTAGAGGAAAGCATGTTTGACATAGGTTGCTTGATTTTTTATTTGGAAGGAGCTCTTTAGGCCTTTCCATGATTCAGTGATGAATGTTGCCAATAAGCTAAAAATAATGAGACTTTTCATTAGTAGCATCAATTTTGGTTAAGAAGAAGAGTAAATCTATCCTAATTTGCATGAAGTAGATTGTGGGGATGCTGACAAACTTAATCAAGACTACATAATTTTAATATCTTAGGTTGTCATGGATCTTTGTCTACTTAGTCAACGGATATAGCTGATTAAACCAAACCAAGAAACTATTGTTGCCTCGGAAGAGTGGCGGCTCTCTCTGTTTGGCTAATTAGTTGGCCACTAACCTTTTTTATGTGGCCATTGATGCTACACGTAAAAGGTATGTTA